ACCGTTCCTGCCTGGTCTCAGGACCCCTCAGCAGGTGGAGAGCTGAGCAAGGACAGTCTACCTCCGCTTACCCTATCAGCAATGTGAACGGTCACAAAACATTTCCTCCTTCCTGACCTGGGGGCTGAACAGGCGGTCAGAACGGGTGACTCACTGCCTGCCCCGCAGCCCACTCCCTGCAGATGATGACTGTCACTATTTTCCTTTACCCCCCCCCCCACCCCCCACCCCGCCTGGCCCATGACCCTCTGAGGGCCGTGGCTTCTCTATGGATCAACAGCCTGGCTCCCAACTGCCATGGACACCTAGTCCTGGGACAAGTGACCACTGAGACCCCTTCCTCCTAAACGCCCCCTTTCTTAGTCTCATTTTGCTTTGTTTTTCAGAATTTTGCAGAGTTCGGGAAAGGGCGCTGCAAGCTTGCCTCGCAAAGGCTTAGCACAATTCTTCTTATGCAACACATTTCATCACTGTGTGAATGCTCTCCCCACAGGCTCTCTGAGCATCCCGGTTTCCAACCCTGACAAAGGTCTCAGAATCACCAATTTCTAAAAAGCTCCCCAGAATGATAAACACAAAACATTGATTGCTCTTGATGGAAGGCAATAGGATGTCTGGAGACAGAGGGCGGGGGGGGGAGGCACTTTATTCTATATTGTTTCATATCTTTTGATTTTGTACCCTTGAGAGGATCATCTAATAAAGAGGTAAGTGACATTAAATTCAAGAAACTAAGCCAAATAAAAATAAAAGAACTATAGCTACATGTAATAATGGGGATGAATCACACAAGTATAATGTTGAAAAAAGATGCAAGATACAAAAGAATAAACACAGGCTAAACTAAGGTATTTAGAGATGCAAACATAGGTAGCAAAACTAAAAGAAGGCAAGGAAATGATCCCAAATGCCAAGCCAGTGGCTACCTCTGGCAGAAGGGGCCTTGCACGGGGAAGGAGCCGACAGGCCTGAGGGCTCTGGTTGCTGCAAAGCTCTATTTCTTAGTCTGGGTGTTGGTATAACGTGGGTGGTCTCTTTATTAATATGTGTTAAGTGATATATTCATGCTTTACGTCAATTTCAGGTTGTCATTATTTCACAAATATAAAAAGAGCAAACAATTACCAGGTCAGGTGAAACTGGTGAACACACATGCATTACCAGAGGAGGGGAGAGAAGACCCCCATTGGCTGTGATGCTGACCCAACTGGAAAAGCCCTGCCCCCGAGCCACGGAGGACCAAGCTGTGAAGATGGGCCTCTGTGAGTGTCTAGACAGAGCTGGTTGCTGTGCATAAGGGGAAACTGAGGAAGCTCAGAGAGGACCCAGAGAGAACAAAGGCTGAAATCCAGCTGGTCCGGCTCCCAGGCTAGCACCCTTTCCCTCTGCTGCTGGTCCCAGCTGGCAGGTGCCTGCCTTATGTCAGCAGCCGTCTTCCCCAGCCATTCCTGTTTAATTTGCTATTTCTACCTCCTGGTTTGTGGCTGGTGCTCCGGGCCCCCTAGATCTGGGATGAGGAGGGAGATCTTAAGACAAAGAAATTCACAGTGACCCTGGGCCTGGCACCTGTCTTCCACCCATGGGCCTTGGGCCATGGCAGGTAGATGGTGAGGACGGGATTGGGAACTTGTGTGTTTAAGCCACAGCTGTGCAATTGTCAGAGGTACCAGGCACACATGGTGCCCAGGCAAAGCTCCTCCAAGCAAAATCCTGGAGGTCCCCCTTCCAAGGTGCCCTCTGCTATGGCTCTCCAGTCACTTGGACTAGACCCCTTGGGTTCTCCCGCCAGAGCTGGCCTGGCCTTGAAGACTTGAGCTATCCTGGTACCTGACCACATGTTCTGTTTCCTTAACATCTCTTCTGCTGAGATGAGCTCATTGGCCACAAACATGTGTAACTGTAGATTTGCAAGGAGCAGCCACACCCCTATCTGCATGGTGCAGATCACAGATTCTACCACTCAGCACAGTCACTTCCTCTTGCTGGGCCTCAGTTTTACCAGCTGTGAAATGGGAGGGTTGAGCTAGCTTATATCCAAGGGCACCTCCTAATTCTGGGAGTCTGAGGTCCAATGGCAGGGTCCTTCCACTCCTTAACCTCTCATGGCTCAGGACTTTGGCTGGTCCTATCTCCCCCCATTTCCCTAAAAACTTCTCTCCCGAGAGAAGCTGACCTGAGAACAGAGAGGAAAAGACGGTGCTCAGCTCCTGGTCCTGGTCATCATACTTACAACTTTGGGCTTCGTCTTGGTTGGTGACTGAAGAGGAGACGTCACCTTCCTCAGCTGGGGCGGGTGAGGTCGGTAGGGCAGGTAGGTTTGCAGCTGAGGGAAGAGCCGAACCTCCAGAGGGGTCCGCACAGGGCTGGTGGGAGGGCTGGGCTGCGAGGGCGGCTTGCTCTCAGAAGTTGAGAGTGAAGGCACAGGCGGGTGAGGAAACAAAGGCACTGTTTTTCTCTCTAAGGGGCACAGAGGGAAGCAAAGGATAGGATGGAACCAAGACCTATTTCCCGGAGGAGTGACACACAGGAGGACCTGGCACCCCGGGGGCCACCCCACCTGCCTGGGCACTGGCCCCCAGGAGACGGCCCACTCACCAGGATTTTTGACCGACTCCACCAGGATCCTGAAGTTCTCCTTGTTCGCACTCAGGCCTGCGGTGACGTCTTCAATCCTCCAGAGATCCTTCTGTATCTGCGATTTCTCCTACGGAAGACGAGCGGCGGTTCACTTCCTTCTTAGCTCCTCACGAGACGTTTTTTCATAGGACCTGTGCTGTCATTTCAGACAGGGCCCCTCACCCTGGGCGGGTGGCATTTCGTTGGGAAGCCCCACCAGGGCTAGAGCCCAGCCTGCTCCACGGCTTCACGGGGAAGCGCAGACACGAAGGATGCTCAAGGCCCAGGAGAGAAATTTCAGGGGCGCTCTCACAAGTCCACCTCGCCTAGTTCCACCTCATTTAGAAACAGGCTGCCTTAGACACTGTAGGATTCCACTTATGTGAGGCATGAAGGCTGTCAGATTCAGAGAGAAAGTAGAGGGTGGGTGTGGATGCTGGGGGAAGGGGGGGAAGGGGATTGTTATTTCCTGGGTACGGAATTCCAGGTCTGCAAGACAAGGAGTTGTGCAGATGGGTGCACAACAATGTGAATACACTTAACACTACCAGCCTGTACACTGGAACACGGTGAAGGTGGTAAATTTCATGCTATGTACATTTTACCACAATTTTAAAAAGTGGACCATCTCAGGCAACTTTGGCATAAGGGAAGAGAAGGCAAGGACTAGAGGTTACGCCTACCCTACACTATAAATGGCATCTTTTAAAAGACAGTTAATCCTGGGACGTGAAGTTTACTAGTAGTTCAGAGTACAATGGGCTGTAGAAATTTTCGGCAATAAAAGGGAACGACGTACTGACACATGCTACATGGACGAACCTGGAAAACATTATGGTGCATGAAAGAAGCTAGACACAGAGGCCACAGATTGTATGATTCCATTTTATATAAATGTCCAGAATAGGTAAATCCAGAAAGAAAGAACGTAGATTAGTGATTGGCAAGAGCAGGAGTGGGGATTGAGGGTGGGGATGGGGAGTGATCGTTAATAGGTACAAGGTTTCTTTTGGGGGATGATGAAGTTGTTATAATATTGTAGGGATGGTTACGCAACTCTGAATATTCTAAAAACGAATGAACTGTATACTTTAAGAGGGAATTATATAATAAGCCTGTTATTTTTAAATTTTATTTTGTTAATCCTCACCCAAGGATAGTTTTCCATTGATTTTTAGAAAGTGGAAGGGAGGGGATAAGAGAGAGATAGAGATAGAGATAGAGGAGAGAGAGAGAGAGAGAGAGAGAGAGAGAGAGAGAGAGAGAGAGAGAGAGAGAGAGAGACATCGATTGGCTGCCTGCCACATAAGCCTTGACGGGCCAGGGATAGAGCTTGTAACTGAGGCACATGCCCTTGACCGGAATCAAACCCAGAACCCTTCAGTCCGAGGCCAACACTCCATCCACTGAGCCAAACGAGCTATGGCAAAGCTGCTGTTTTTTAAAGTATTGGGGAAAGAGCCAGGCTATAGGACCATACGCACACTTGACAAGTCACAACCAAAACCGGCTGGGAAGAGGCCCTAGAAAGACGCGAGCGGGGTCTGTAGTGGTTAAGGGATGGTGGGCATCTTTCAATAGAGTTGTTTAAACATCAAGTAGACTATTCTTTCAGCTTTTAAATTACCATGGGGGAGGACAGAAAGTTTCACATCCCCGGCCACACTCAGCCAGAAGAGTTCCCGCATGCGCCATGCTTATGGCCATGTCTGATTCTACAACTAGACAATGTGCTCCCCGATCCACCCCCCAGAGGCAAGTTCTCAGCGATTCTTAGTATAATTTATGTTGAATGATAAAGGACCAATCACATAAAAGTCCCTGGTCAAATACTGTCCAACAGCCGTGACAACAGACGTCCGAGGCCTCCCTCCTAGCAGCTCAGCCTCTCACGCTCTCCCCACCCTTAATACACCAACGCACATCCTCAGGGCGGACAAGCCAATAATGAACTTGAGGCTCGGCTCCTCACTGAAGCACAAGTGTCCTAAAGCAGACGTGTCTGTGAGCTCAGAGTGTGGGTACAAGCTAACAGGGTTATCTCTAGAGCGGAGGTCCCCAGGCAGAGTCCTGGCAGCAGGTGAAGGGGGAGCATGGGATTAGAATAACTCCCCCTCCCCTGGCAGTCTCCCTGGCACACTTCTCCTGCCAGTTAGTTCGCAACCCTGCCCCCACTTTGCCCTCGTCACCCCACCCGTAAGAGAAGAGCAGAGAGGAGCGCAGGCCAGACAACCTCTATCTTTCTCCAAGGGCGATGGAATTTCAGAACTTAATGACGAGGCAAAGGAAGCTTTTGGGGAGCAAGGCAGTGGGGTTTCATTCCTGCATCCTCACGCCAGGCTGGGCAGGATGGCTGCTGTGTACTACACTCAGCAAAGGCTTGACTCATTGGACACCTACAGGGAGCCTTGCCTCTCACTGCCTCTCACACGGTTACCCAGATGCTCTTTGATCCTCTGGCTTCCCCACCCAGGTGGCCATGAAAATCTTTATAAATAAAGCCACTCATCCTAATATATAAAAAGCCAGGGGCTGTCATGACCGAAAACAACCGACGGACAACCAAACAGCAGGCTTCGTGGGGCGACCAGGCCAGCAGCGGGGGCAGTGAGAGGGAATCAGGCTGGCAGGTGGGGCAGTGAGGGGCAATCAGGCCAGCAGGCAGGTGAGTGGTTAGGAGCCAGCAATACAGGATTGTGAGAAGGATGTCCCCCGAGGGGTCCTGGATTGGAGAGGGTGCAGGCTGGGCTGAGGGGACCCCTTTGCATGAATTTTGTGCACTGGGCCTCTAGTCTTCAATAAAAAGGCTATGGATTTTCTCATAGCCAAACCTGGCTAAAGGGAGGCGAGCTTCCAGGCCCACTACTGAGAATGTGTGTATCTCCAGTGTTAATGATTTATTCAGGGCTCTATTCAACAGCTTGCCTGGCCTTGAATTACACCAAAGTGAACACAGAGTCTGCTCAAAGGAGGGCTTTGTGAGCTTCTGGTCATTGAGGTATCAGGGAAAGTGTGAGCAGGGCCACCAGGTAGATGCATATCGAGCAGCAGGGACCAGGCTCCAAACCGGCCTATGTTTCAGTCACTTACTAGGGAGTCTGTGACAAGACCTGTACATTGTACCCATTTGTGTTGTGGAGGGGAAAGAAGGTTTCGGGGCCTGCCCTATGTTACGTCACCATGAAATAAGCTGCAGTAGAAATACAACTGGCCCATAATCACATGAAGAGATGTTAAACCTACAAGGTAAGTAAATAAATGCAAATTAAAACAAGATGTCCTTTTTCAGCAAGTAGACTGGCAAAAACTAAAAAGAGTGATAACATCAAGTGCTGGCAAGGATGTGGGTAGACGGGTTCCATACTTTCATTCATGTGGGTGGGAGGGCAAATGAGAACAGCCTTTTAGAGAGCGATCCGGCAGCATCCAGCCACACGAAGATGTACACTCTTTTCAACCCACTGAGTCTGCTCCTAGGGACCTGCCTTAGATGAGCGCTCATAACGGAGCTTGAAAAGGCAGTTACACAGATGCTCACTTTTCTAAAAACAAAACACGGCCAATAACATTCAATGTCCCTCAGAGGAGGAATGGCTAAGCAAAGGATGAACTGTCCAGACTACAAAATTCTATGCAGCCGTGAAGAACTAATTTAATTTCATTTACTTAGACCAGCGATTTTCAAACTTTTTCATCTCATGGCACACATAAACTAATTACTAAAATTTTGCGGCACACCAAAATATATATATTTTGCCGATCTGACAAAAAAAAATAGGTATAATTTAGATTCACTCACACTAGACAACTATTGTTGTGTTGGCTGTTGTCATTTTTTCATTTGACAATCTAAGGGAAAAGAGGTCAGTGCCACTGACTGAATTAGTCAGTGTTGCATGTTTTAAAAATTCTTATGGTATACCTTTTGAAAAATCGCTGAATTAGACCAACAATTCAGTACAACTTTCTGAGGTTACGGAAATCTATCATTTGTGCTATTCAATATAGCAGCCACTGGCCACATGTGGCAACTGAGCAGTGGAAATGATTCTAGTGTGACTGAGGAACAAATTTTTAATGTTAGTTAATTTTAATTCAGTTATGTTTAAATTTAAGTAGCTACTGTATTGGGCAGCATAAACCTGGGGGTATCTTTCCTAGGAAGATTGCCACCACATAAAGTTATGACAAAAAAGTGAGTTACTGGACAAGGTATTAGAATGATTCCTCTTTAAATAAACAGTCACCCTCAAATAAATTAAATAACTCTGTATGTGCACGTGTTTGGAAATGCAAAGAAAACGGTCAGAAGGCGACTTTGCAAACTGGAGGCACTCATTACCCACAAGGGAGGTGGTGGTCTAGGGCAGAGGGAAGAGAAACTTTTATTTTTTGGTTTTGCTTCTCATTGTTTGGACTTTTCTGAGAGACGTATTCCCATGTGATTTGTATAATCATAGAAATATAAGGAATAAAAAGCTAAAAAAATTACTGCTAAAATTAATGTGGCTCATTGAAGTCCAAGAAGATATGTATAACAGGACAGTTTAAGAAACTAGTAATTAGAAACAATCATGTGAAGGACTTTGTCGATAGTCACCTAGCATTTTCATGCCACTGTGCTAAGTGCTGGGGATACAAAACAGAATGGGAGAATGTTAGTCAGCTTGGATACAGGGACATTATAGGAAAAATACAGCAGCAGCAGCAGGAGACAGACAAGCTGGGACCGAGCAGGCCAGCCCCGAGCCACAGGCAAGAGTCTCCACATGGCTCTGGATTGGGCTCTCTAGATCCAGTGCCCAATGGTGAGTGGGGGGACAGCAGGACCTGGGAAAAGCCTCCCAGTCCTGAATTTCCATCTCTTTTTGGGGCGAGGCTGATGTCAGGAGAGTCAACATATTCATTAAATCACTTGAGTGAGAAGCCCTGGCTAGAACTAGTCCATCCATGAGTAAGCCAAGCACCAAAACTGGCCTAGCTGAATTAATGCTCGCTGAACTCAAAATCAAATCCACGGGGCCTGAAAGAGGAGATAGAGACCTGAAGCTGGGTTCAAAAGCAGGTTACTTTCCATTTTTAAAATGTTGAGGGTGGAACCACAGTGAGGGAACGAGCGCTGGGCATCTGAGGACTGGACCGGGAGGAAGGAAAACCTTCCAGGGCCTTTCTTCCCTCACCTTTGGGGAGCAGAGGCAGTTGCCAACAGGTGGCCTGGTTTTTAAGGATAGAGGAAGCTGGGCCCTAAGGCTGCCTTTCCTGAGGAGGGCAGGGGCCACAGCGATGGGTATCTCCTAGCCTGGCACCTCCTGGATTCACACTACCTCCTCAGGTGAAGGCTCGATAGCATCTATCTTCAGCAATCAGAGGATGGAAGGAAGGGGACGGGGCTGTCTGCTGCTGTCTCAGTGAATAGATAGGAGCCAAGATGGGCCAAGAACCAACAGGTGAGGCCCAGAAATCAGGATTTTAAAAAGATTCCCAGGTGATTCTAATGTGCAGCCAAGGTTGAGAACCACTGCTCTAGGGTCTCTGTGAGGGTCTCAAGGTTGGCATTTGTCTCCTCTTGGGGCTCTTTTTCCAAATGTAAAACCCTTACAAACACGCCCCAGAATTTGTCTAAAAGCAGAGGTGGGAACTGTGGGGAGCTGGGCATCACAGCCTTGCTGGGGGAAGGATCCCAGAGGGAGACCTTGGGGGGGTGAGCAGGCTGAGCCCCGGTAGAGGAGAGAAGGCCCAGGGTGGGGCTCTCCCAAGGAATCAGAGCCCAGGACGGGGAGAGAGCCCTTGAGCCACCTGGAAAAAGAAGGCCCTTCGGTGCTGCTCCTGCAGGGTCTGCTTCAGCTGCGCTACGTCGCTCTCCAGCTTCAGGTATTCATTCCAGGCATTTTCCATCTCCTGTTGGCCAAGGAAACGCTCTGGTTCTTAGCTATCCTTGCCCCCAGAAGCCCCATGCACACCTGTGCTCCTGACCACAGCCAGCCCTGCCAGGGGCAGAGGAAGAGAGCCCCACAGGTCTGGTGGGGATGGTGAGAGAGACACGGGTTGTCTTCTCACTCATGATCTGACCCTGGCCATCTGCCCTGTCCCTTCCTCCACCCTTGGGGACACTTTGGTTCCCAGGCCTGGCAGAAAGGGGCCTGCACCACATCAGATGGACAGATCAAGTGACATCTTAGAATTAACGCAGATCAGGGAAAAGCCTAGTGGACAGATCAAGTGGACATTCTGACATCTTAGAATTAACGCAGATCAGGGAAAAGCCTACAGGCTGCTCTGAGAAATCTGGCCCCCTGGGTGTTTCTGTAGTCATGCAGGAGTCGCTGATGGAAAGGACCCTAAGGCACCTGGACACGTCACCCCTGGACAGGGTAAGCTACTGCCAGGAGGCAGCCTGCTACCCCAAGACTCTTGCCCCTGGCCGCCAATTCAGTTACAGCTGGGGAGATGAGAAGAGCAGCCCTCTGCCCAGCCCAGCCTGAGGGAAGTGCGCACCGCCCTCCACAGCCTCTACGCACAGTGGACTCTCTGGAGAGCTCCGCCCGGATGTGGACCAGGTCCTCTTGCAGCAACCTCTGCTGGCAGGCGATCTTGTCCAGGTGCTGGGGCTGGTCTCGGTATTGCTCCATCTGTCTGTGCAGCACCTCCAGCACGGACTCCAGCTGGTCCTACCGGGCGAGGATCAAAGAGCAAGGTCATAAAGGACAGTCCCTGGAGGCCTCCCACACAGACCAGAAACTAAACAGAGCTGCAAGACCTAACCATTGACTGGGGGCCAGTGTCCAGCTGGGGCCTGAGAGTCAGGGTCTCTGAATTCAGCTCTGACTGCCCACTGGGTGGCCTGGGGCAAGTCACCTAACAGCTCTGTGCCTCAGTTCCCTTGTCTACAAAATGGGCACAAGGCTACCAACTCCTTATGGGATCAAGGATGAGGATAAATCAGAGTCCAGGAAAACTCTTTAAGGTCTTAGAACAAAGGGCATGTTATAAACCTTCAACATCACAAATATAACACCTTGACAAAATGCAATGAAGAAAAAAATTCACACTAAGTGTCTAAGAGACCAAACATTGGTGTCCCCCAACTCTGCCCGGCCCATTCCTGCCCTTCCATCCAGACTGTTTCCTCCATAGCCCAGATCCTAGGGGGGCCTCCTCTTCCAGGATCACCTCACCAGGCCTCCAGGGAGAGGTGGGCCAGAGCAGAATTAAGGGGGTAGGAGGAGGGCAGTGGTATTAGGTCAAGGTCTACCTATAAGGCAGTGGTTCTCAACCTTCCTAATGCCGCGACCCTTTAATACAGTTCCTCATGTTGTGGTGACCCCCAACCATAAAATTATTTTCGTTGCTACTTCATAACTGTCATTTTGCTACTGTTATGAATCGTAATGTAAATATCTGATATGCAGGATGTATTTTCATTGTTACAAATGGAACATAATTAAAGCATAGTGATTAATCACAAAAACAATATGTAATTATATATGTGTTTTCCGATGGTCTTAGGCGACCCCTGTGAAAGGGTCGTTCGACCCCCCAAAGGGGTTGCAACCCACAGGTTGAGAACCGCTGCTATAAGGTTTCCTCCAGGTTCAGAAAGAACCGCTCCCCTCCCCCAAGAAACACCCTTTAAACCCAAAGACATTGTTCTGAATAAACTAACACCTGTTGTTCGATACCATCCCGTCTATGACTGTGAAAAGACAAACCTCCTACCCCACCCAGCCTAAGATTATGCAAAACTGATACATACTTTGTTCTCCTTGAGGGCACGTATCTTGTCTTCCAAGTCCTGGAGGATCCTGTCTTGTTCACAGAAGATGCTCAGTTTGACCTGTGAGCAAGAACAGGTTGGAGAGGGCCTGGGATGATGAGGAAAGGGCATGGCCTTGGAGTGTAAACAGGAAGCCTCTGGCTACAGAACCCTCCAAACCCTCCTGAAGCTGCCCACCCAGGGGCTGGGGACAGCAGGCAGCCGACGGAGCGAGCGGGCAGCGACCACTCAGTTCACTCACATCAATGTCACTCTCGGCAATCTTCATTGGTTTCAGGCTTCGATCCTTGAGAAGGTCCCGGCCTGTCATCTGCGAGGTGAACAAGGTGAAGGAGATTTAACCCTAGGGTTTGGGATCCAAACTCCGGAAGGAAAGTGAAGTGAGCCCTGCGATGGATGGGTGTGGAAGTCTTGGCAGCGGCAGGCAGGGTCACAGCACAGGAGGGGCAAAACTGAGGCAATATCTACTTCATTTTCATGCCTATTTCATTTTAGGAAAAAACTGTTCCCGGCCTGTCATCTGTGAGGTGAACAAGTTGAAGGAGATTTAACCACAGGGTTTGGGATCCAAACTCCGGAAGGAAAGTGAGCCCCGCAATGGATGGGTGTGGAAGTCTTGGCAGCGACAGGCAGGGTCATAGCGCAGGAGGGGCAAAACTGAGGCAATATCTGCTTCATTTTCATGCCTATTTCATTTTAGGAAAAAACTGAAACCTTTTCAAGATTCTAGTAGCACTTGTAAATTTCTCAAACTAACGGGAATGCAGATATTCAAATTATAGCATCATCAACTGTAGCAGCTTCTATTTGCTCAAAATCAGTATGAATCTTGGAAGATTTGCCACTGATAAGAGAGTTTTCCTACTGAATCTGGAGTCAAACACAAGTGACTGAAGTCCAGGGCAGTGGGGTGGGTGGACCAGGAAGAATGAGCAAATCCCCGGGACAATGTCAAGCCTTAGTTTCAGGAAAAGTCTGAGTAGCCCACCTCCCCGTGAGTAAGGTCAGCCTTCCCCACTCTAACTATCTGGGAAGAGGACCTGGCCAAGGGAAGAAGGAACCTGGGTAATTCCTGGTTGGGGTTTTCAAGTGATCCTGAAATAACTGATGTTGGGCTGTACTTGTATATTACCCCGTCCTCTCAAGACAGGAAGCCACAAAGCAATAAACAAAAATCACCCAAACTTATGGGCAGGTGGAATTTCACATTTCCCATCCCCCCCTTGACCCAATGTGGGCAACAAGTTTCCCATCCCTCTCTGACCCCTACGAAGTTAAACCTAACTCTTTAGCCTATGTTTTCATTTCCCTAATATCATTTCTTGCCAAAAGCTGTGCGGGGGGGAAGCGAAGGGGGTTTACACAGATGCCCTCCCCCTATGGCCAAGCCATGGGCAGGAACCGCCCAGTTGAATGTGCCCCCCCACCCCCCATAGGGAACTCCATTTTGCAGATCTGACCAGGGAAACAACAGGGCGTAGCTAACCATGGCCAAGATAGGTGTGGTGTGTCCCAGTGTGGATGGACAGACAGCTGCTGGCCCTTGCTTTCTCCCTACTCCATCTGGGAGGTCCACTAAGTTTGTGAATGTGAATCAGAAGCAGAAATATATTGGCAAGCATTTACCCCCGCCCCCCCATATGTCCAACTGTCCTATACTCCCTCTCCTTGACAATCATTATCAGCAAAGGTCAAGGTCAAAGGAGAATGCCTTCTCCATCCATGCCTTGGCCTGAGGACTGAGTCTGGCTGCAGACCTGCCCCCACCCATTCCCAGGCTCCCTTTGGCCACACAGTAGAGGGCAGGGACCACTGTCTTATTTATCTCAGTAAAGTCAGCCCCGAACACAAGGCCTGGCACTGAAGGGCACTTGGCAAAGGCTCCTTGCATTGCAAGTAGGTCAAAGGGAAATACTGGTAAGTCAGTGCTGTCGAGTTCCTGGAAAAAAATGGAACTCCAGCCAAATTCTGCCCTTCAAACTGACAGATGATGTGTACATACACGTATACACACAGTCACGGAACACACTGACTCCAGCAACAATCCACAAACAAACAGGCAGAAGGGGAGAGGCAGGCGGTGGAATTAATCCTGGTGAACCACAAACAGCTGAACTTCCCAGGTAGGACTTGGGCCTTTAAACTCAGGGGAACCCAGCAGGTGAACGCAGTAGAGTCTTCACTCTGTGCACCAGGGGTCCTCAAACTACGGCCCGAGGGCCACATGCAAATACAAATATTGTATTTGTTCCCATTTTGTTTTTTTACTTCAAAATAAGATATGTGCAGTGTGCATAGGAATTTGTTCATAGTTTTTTTTTTAACTATAGTCCGGCCCTCCAACGGTCTGAGGGACAGTGAAACTGGCCCCCTGTTTAAAAAGTTTGAGGACCCCTGTAGTGTGCACAGTCCTTCATCAAAGCAGAGGGCAGAGCTTGCCTACCCTCCACGGGGCTGACACTCGGCTCATTTCCCAGGAAGAAATCATGTTCAAAATGAGATATGCTTTGGGAACTTTTCCTCCCAGCAAAACTCTTCCCCGTTTATCACTGAAGCTTTTTACAGATGAGATCTTTTCGATACTGAAATAGCGAGGCAGAGAATCTAATTGAGCAATGCTTCGTTTATCCAGCACCACCAGGAATTAAGTGAGGGGTTCTACACAAAAAGGGCATTTTGAGAAAGCCGAACCTTTTAAATTTTTTTTTGGTGGAGTGCTTACGAAAAGTATGCCCTTCACTGCCATCACAGAATGATGAATATATATTCAACCGTTTATGGGGGGACGAGTCAATCATTATAAAAAATCAGTAAAATAGAATTTCTTAGAAGCTATTAGCCCTTGATTAAGTGCTCCCAAATTTCTGTGATTTCATGTCCATTTTAGATGGACATGTAATGTTTCTTTTTCTCTCTTGGGGTATTAGCACTCCTTTTCAAAGAAGTAACTTTCCCTTGTGCCCTTTCAATGTGCTGCTCTTAAGGTGCTGTGAGTTAGGAATTCAAACTCGGGCTGAGTCTCTTGGGATTAGAAATTCAATGCAGGTGACATTCTTGCTGTTTTCCCGTCTCCCTCCCTGTAGCTGGGTTTGGTGCCCTTCCAGGGAGATGCTCCCACACCTGTGTCTCCCACAACAAGGGCCTTAGTACATCAGATGAAACGTTCTGTCTCCCCTCACTAGGAACTAACCCAATTAGGGGTGACTGTCAGATTGTGACCTACTTTCTCTGCATCCTCAAAGCCCAGCCAGGGCCCATCATACTGAGGATATTTGGGAAATGTTTGCTTAGTGAGTCTGTGATTGTAACAAAACCAGGTGAGCTGGCTGTGCTCAGGGCCCAAGCCCTGAGTAAAGGCCACAGGTTTTAGAGCTGGGCTTTGTGATCGCGTTCACACAGCTGAGAGGCCCTTGAAGCTTCTGAATTTAGCTGTCCCGGAGAGCCGAGACGACTATGAAATACCCACAAGAAGTGTATGGCATCTACTTTCCCTTTTAAAACTGTGCTTTGTGTTAGCAATGTTTAAATCCACTGACGACATCAAGTGTCGGTTCAAATGGTGTCTGCATCAGAAAGGCACTGAAGGTGACCCAGCCCTCCTACTCCCTCCACCACCTCCCAGGACACCCCTTCTCAGGGCTCAGGATGAGCAGGCGTAGCACCTGCCTCCCAACCCACATCCTCCCTTGAAAGCGACAAAAGCTGGCCGTGTTCCAGGCGCTACTTCTGCATCGGTCAAAGCGAGGGGTGGGAGGCCCTATTTTGTTCTAGTCCAGCTCCAGACATCAGCACCCTGCCCCGAAGAAGAGCCACCTTAATTTAATGCAGGTCCACGGTGGAATCCGAGGACACCCAGCTCCTCCAAGATGACCAGGAACAACCGCTCCCTCCCAAGGCTCATGCTCGACTACCCAGGCCATGCTGGTCTCTGTCTAGGCCAGGCCTCGCTGTGGAGGCAGATGAGGGAGAATGGGACATGACACAAGCTGGAAGCAAAGCTGGGCGAGCCCCCCGCCCCCACCCCGCCACCCTGTGGCAGCACAAAAGATGGAATCACAAGACAGTACGGATGAGAGGCTCAGCCTGGTGCACCAGCCAACACGCCGACAGGAGCTTAAGAGAAAGAAAATAAATGGAAATGACTGGCAGGAAGCCTGGGGTGGCCAGGAGAGCCCCTGGTTAAGCACGTGATGGAATCGGCACTGAGCCAGAAGCATGGAATGGCCCCGCCTGGAGACACAGGTCAGATCATCTTACGCGTCTCCTGGGCCGCCAGCCCTGTGCTGACTTCTTCAGCACTCTGTAAAGCACGCTGATCAAAGGTTCGTTATTTTTTATCTGTTCCAAACAGAAAGGCAAACACAACAAAACGTCACAGGTGAGACATCAAACAACACTTGAAGGAGCCAGAATTTGGGGAACGGGCAAGGGGACCTTGAAGGAGGATGTGTTATGTGTGGTCCAGTGACTGGGACTCAGTCCTCGTGCTGGCTTCCCAGCGGGCGGGCCTTTCTGGAGTTCAGTTCCTGCGTCTATAAAACGGGATGGTCAGCTCTGCCCGAAGGACCTCCGTGCAGGCCAGTTTACGTGAGAGCCGAGTTCAGTGCCCACTGGATCCTGGGTTCTGCCACAGAAGGCGAGAGGCAACTTTGCTGTCTCCTTCGTCCTCCGTCATCACACACTGTCATTTAGAGCGGTGCCATCCTTAGTCCTGCAGACCCTCACCTCCACACTGTGCTGCACCTGCAGCTAAGTCACCATGTCTCACCCAGGATCCCAGTGCTGGCAGCTGTTCTGAGGGAAGACTGTCCTCACCGGCTCAGACAGTGGGTCTCAGCCTGGCTGGAGCACTGGAATGATCAGAAACCTGAACAGATACTGATGCCCGAGTCCCAATCTGAGAGACTCGAATGCAGCTGGTTCGGGGTGGGGCCCGGGCATTGGGATGCTCAAAAGCCCTCCTGGGGGATTCTAATGTGCAGCCAGGATTGGGAACAACGACTCCACACAGTGGCTCCTAAACGTTATGGTGCTTCAAAATCACCCAGAGGGCTTGTTAATGCAGGGGTGGGCAAAAGTAGGTTTACAGTTGTGAGTAACATTCTTTTGTGTGACTAAAGCTACACCCTGCATCTTTCTCCATACGAACAACTGTAAGTATACTTTTCCCATCCCTTTATACAGATCTGCTGGGCCCCACCCCTAGCAGTTCTCACCGAGCTGGAGCTGGTCTGGGGTAGGCCTCGGGCCTCAGGATTTTGCATTTCCAGCAAATTCCCTGGCATTGCTGATGCCGCTGGCCTGGCATCACACTTCCAGAACCAGTGCTTTGAGACAATATCCCTCAACCGTGGCTACACATCAGAAACACTGAGGGAGATTTTGTTTGTTTTTAAGAGCAACACCTGAGTGTAATCAATTCAATCAGAGCCGCTAAGGCAGTTCTCAACCTGTGGGTCACGACCCCTTTGGGGGTCGAACGATCCTTTCACAGGGGTCGCCTAAGACCATCAGAAAACACATATATAATTACATATTGCTTTTGTGATTAATCACTATGCTTTAATTATGTTCCATTTGTAACAATGAAATTGGGGGTCACCACAACATGAGGAACTGTATTAAAGAGTTGCGGCATTAGGAAGGTTGAGAACCACTGCACTAAGGGATGGGACCCTAGCAGCAATGCTCAATTAAAGAGCTCCCCAGGTTGTTCTGGTTCATGGCCAGAGTTAATAATCTCTCCTCCAGAACAACCAGACCTCAAACTTCATATGCATAAGAATTGCCCCAAAGCTTGATTTTTAAAAAAGACAGAATTCTGGGCACCATCTCCAGAGATTCTAATTCAGCAGAACCCCAGACTTGCAATGATTTATTGAGCTCCCAGGGGGTCCTGCAGCAGGTGGTGCCCAGACCACACCGTGAGGAACTTTGCTCTGGACGCTGACTGTGGAACAGACCTGAACAGGGAAGCCCTGATCACAGGCTCAAACCGTCAGGAAGGGCCTGAGAGCCAGGCACCTGGAGCAACTGGTGACATGCCCCTCACCAGGGACAAGCACCTTTCTGGAGCTGACTGCTACCTACTCTACCTACAAAGGCATCAGCTGAGCAGCTGGCAGACACCCTCCCCTCTGTCTCCCATCCCAGCTGTGCTTCATGGCTGCCTAAAAACAGTTCAAGCTGTCAACAACAGGGAACCCCCACGCCCCCCTGCAGACCCAGCCGGGGTGTAGGGTCTTGAAGTGCAGAACTTCGATGCCAGAAGTACAATTCAGCAAATGCACCTTTAGGGCAGGTGAACTGCATGGTACATGGAAGGAAGGTGGCAGGTGTGCAGTGAGTCAGTGGGTTGAATCCCAGCCATGTGACTGCAGAAGTCACCCCTCTGATATGTGAATTCCTGGTTGATAAGGTGGGGATAATAATTCCTATTGCGTTGTTCAAGGATGCTGAGAGGATTAAGTGAGATAAGAACACCAGGTGCCCAAACACTGCCAGGCAGAGAGAGACGCCTAATCTATGTGGAGCCCATTCCACCGTGGCACCGCCAGCTAAAACGCCAGAGAAGTAAACGTTTCCCAAAAGAACATTAAACAAAGTGTCTTCTAAGACAGTGGCGTGCACCTTCATGGGATCGCTTGGCACCGCAGCAGGAATGCTCATTTCAGGAAGAAAAAACCCCACATCACCACACCCTGATTCCGGAAGCTGAGCATCGCTGATGGAGGGGATGATGGGCTCTGATCCTTAAGTCAGTGGCCCTCGGGCAGAGACGAGGGGGACTCTAGGCCAGTGATGGCGAACCTATGGCACGTGTGTCAGAGGTGACACGCGAACTCATTTTTTTGGTTGATTTTTCTTTGTTAAATGGCATTTAAATATATAAAATAAATATCAAAAATATAAGTGTTTTACTATGGTTGCAAATATCAAAAAATTTCTATTTCTATATGTGACACGGCACCAGAGTTAAGTTAGGGTTTTTCAAAATGCTGACACACCGAGCTCAAAAGGTTCGCCATCACTGCTCTAGGCCAACCTCCTTCCTCCCCCGAAAGGACCCGGGAGGGACCTCTCACAAGGAGCTGGTGACCGTGGGGACTGTGCCTGTCATGATCTCCATGCCCGAGCCCATTCAATTGTGTCCACAGGGGGCCTGCGTCTTAGGGGCCCCCGCCCGGCTCAGTGTCTGCTCATTGTGTCTAGCTGACAGTGGTTCTCAACCTTCCTAATGCCGCGACCCTTTAATACAGTTCCTCATGTTGTGACCCCCAACCATAAAATTATTTTCGTTGCAAATTCATAACTGTAATTTTGCTACTGTTATGAATCGTAATGTAAATATCTGATATGCAGGATGTATTTTCAGGGGTCGCAACCCAAAGGTTGAGAACCGCTGGCAGGAGCCAGCGGCCTCAGGGTGCTCCTGACCCAGCCGCTCATCCCACCCAGTGCTCCTCTGGCCTCAGCTGCACCGTGGTGGAGAGTCCACCATGACCTGTGGTGGCCCTTTTAGAAAAGTCTCTTTCCTACTAAACGGAAACCCGTCTACTTATAGCTACTCTCCACTTGTCCTAACTCCCCCTTAGGGCCACAGAGGGCACCTGGTAATAGTTCAGAGCTTTACAGACTGTGTCTATGTCTCCCCTGAATTGACCTAACCTCTGACATTCTGCACTGGAGCTGTGCTCGCCGCTGTGGTTCTTGCTTCTGCCCAGCGTGCCCTCCCTGAGGGACCTCTCCTTCACTCTGAGGGGAGGCGAGGCCGGGAGGAAATGAACCTGGATTTGCAGGTGCCACCTTTCCATGCCATGTGGAGGCAGCCTGCACACCAAGGAAGGTAGACCAGGGACAGCATGGTCTAAGCCCGTGGAGTGTAACCCTGTAATGTATAGTCCCTTTCTGGCTTAGCAGGTTGATGTGGGTTTCAGACACTTGCAGGCGAAAGCATCCCACCTATACACTCCTCAGCCAGGATTTGCAGGTCCTCAGCACCTCTCCTTTGATTCCAGCCCCTCCCTCGTCTGAGAACCCTGAACCCCTGTGGGGTCACAGCAGAGCAGGCCCGCTGCCTCCCCGATATGGGCACCCCGTCCCTTGGAGGTAGGCCAAGGTGGTGCCTTTCTGGCAGCCACGCCAGACTGATGACTCACACGCAGCACAAACCCCAGCATCTCTTCCCACACGGGCTTCTGGTCCATTGATCTGGGGGACTAGTTCTCTGAGAGGAGCCAGCAACTGGAGCAACATCCACAAGACCAGGGAAGGCCTGGCATCAACACAGCTGTTGTTCATGACAAACAGCAACAACTTCCAATTGCTAATGCTCTGGCACCCTCAGCTCCCAGCCAGTGAAATACCCCAAGGACACACCTTGCCTCCATCACATCAAACATGTTTCCTGGCATAACGACCCCCAGTTCGGTTCCATAAAAAACTTAACTCCTCCAGGTGCACAGTGGTAGGAGGAGAGTTTCAGGAAAGTCTGGGAGGAAAGGTGATTAAGAGCATGAGCTCCAGAGTCAGAGCAACACATAAGTACCGACTCCCCAGTCACTGCTCATGTGGTTTCTCTCTCAGAGCTTCAGTCTGTACAACACAATCCGCCACCTCCCTCCCAGGACTGCTCAGGGGCTCACACACTCCATCGGAGCAAAGCACAGTGACCAGCACGCGTGATACCCTGAATTGTGTTTTAGCTTCTCTTGGGAGTCAGGACACACAGGGACTCCTGGCCTTGCTCTGCTATCCTGTGCCTCAGTTTCCCTCTCTCTAGACTCCCTTTAACGCCAATCCTACAGTCTGGGCTGGATCTTTACTCCAGGACAACTGTGCATTTCGGCTCTCCCACACAAACAGGAGTCAGGAGACGGCTGCTCCCAGGCTTCTGGCCCAGGCACTTCATGGAGTTCCTCTCACCCTGTGCACCGAGCATGGTGAAGGGTGTCTCACACACACACCTGTGCTGCTGCCGGGCTGAGCCTCTGCCACAGGCCGAGGACGTGGATGCTCCACGAATCCTTCTGTGCCGACGGCACGGCCCCAGAGCAGGGGTGCGAAGAAACAGCGACATGGTGGCTGGCGGTCGGGCAGTCCAGGGACCAGGGATGCGGGGGCACACGTGGCCGATGGAGGCTAGGGGCTGTGGACCTCCCCCGGTCAGGTGGGGATGGTGGGCGTGGTGAAAAGACCCTGCCCTGTCCCATCAGGGCACGGGAGCATGGGCTGCACAGTTAGCCCACATCCACGTCTGAGCACTTGGTACCCTGAGGCATTACTGCCACACTTATAATACTGGTTCACGCCACGGGAACTAGGAAATGCCCTGGTTTTGAGAGAAACCTGTTTTGCTCGTGTCCAAAAACCAAGTCAGACTTCTATTCATTGCAGCTTCCTTCCAGAGCCTGAGATAGAATCTGGAGCATGAACGAGCTACCTCCAATTCCTGAGGCCAAGGCCACACCACCCTCACCTGGCTCTCCTTGGCTCCCTCCATCCCCTTCCCTTTCATCTCAGCCAATGCAAATATTCTGGCTCTTCCCCGCTCCACCCACACGCCACCTCCTCCCGAAGCCTTCCCAGCAGGGCAGCCCACAGAAATCCTCATTATCTCAGCTCTGAGCACTGGGCCACATCTTTGTAAAGAAGTCTGTTATTTGGGGATGTTTTCTTTCCCCAACCCAGAGAGCCTCGATTTTACTCTTGCACTTCCCCTAGGCTTCTCCAGAGCCGAGTACACAGCAAGGGCTCACTAGATACAGCAGTTAATTAGTTGTTTTCTAAACAGGCTGCCATAGGGCCTGATGCTCGTACCCCGCTTCTACAAGGCTGGAGGATAATCCCCGTTAAAATCTCTCAAGCCAGGTACCCCGGAGACTGGAGGAGGCATGCCCCATGGCAGTCACCTGGGTGCCCTCCCACAGCCCTCACCGCCTCTCACGCCCGCAGTTAACTAAAGGTCACACTCCTTCAGTCTGTTTCATGGCTCAGGCATAAGAAGTGCTCTTCACAGGGGGGGCTTTCAGAGAGCTCGGTGAACGCCACAATAGCGGCTGTCAGGCAGTGCCTCTTGGTTCCCCGGCTTCCTCGGGCTCTCTGTGCCACGGAGGCTGATTGGAGCCCGGAGCTTTATCACCAGTGATCATCTCCTAAATGGGGGGTGGGAGAGACAGCGCCCCTCAGAGCCACGTAATTCCATGTGGAACCTTCTCCCTGGCAGCGAATGATCCCCCGACCTACTTGGGACCAAAAGCACACACCAGGGGCTTCTCTGAACCAAACTCGGCCCCACCCCACTGTAGGCTCTGAAGAAGCAGCCGGTTACTGTTTGGAGGGACCTTTGGGTTCTGACCAAGGACAGGAAGAGATCTGAATCTTGTGGCCTCATTCGGTAGGACAGAGACCGCACAGCAGAATTCACAAGAGACTAAGCGCAGAATCCGAGGCTGTAAGAAAACTCCTCTGATTGGACAGCAGCCGTCTCCATTTGGGATCCAGATTTGATCAGACCTGCACGGTCTTTGGCGTGGGCCTGGCTACGATGGAGCAGACACTCTCCGTAAGGTGAGTGTCCAAGGGACTCGAACCCCTGATGTGGCTCACCTTTAGGTCCAGGTATTCCAGGTCTTTCTTCAGCTGGAGGTAGGTATCATCAGCCTTCAAAGGAAGCACAGAGAACCCAGTTACGAACAGCAAGGGTTTCCATTAACTCAGGGCTTCATGAATGATTTACATTGCACAGCATCGGGGATGAGCAGCAAGGGTTTCCATGTTTACTTGTGTGTTTGGGCTTCATGAATGATTTACATTGCACAGCATCGGGGACAGGACCACAGCAGACCAACACTTCCCGGGCCACAGAGGAAGCACAAATGTCTTGGCGCAGCTTGGAGCCCGCTCTCAGCATGATGGATCTTGCAGGTCGCTGTGGGGAAAGCCAGCTTGTCCCCTCATCAGCTGAGGGGGCAGTTTGATGGCAAGGAGGCGGACGGCACACATCCCACCAGAAAGCTAGGACACACAACTACATAGGTCTCCCTGGAAGACGACATGCTACACCTGAGCTCGGGGCCCATCGATGGCCAGTACTCCAAATTTTGTCATCAAACCTTTGCACTGAGTTATTCACATGCATGAAGCAAAATGACCCATGATCGGTATGGGTAAATGCCTGGAAGAGGCCGGGAGATGGCCCAGGGATGTCCCCTTATGACCTTGGGTTTCAGAATAATAAACACCAGTAGCCCCTGGACGTTTCCTGGAAGCTGGAAGTTCTGGCTTCCTTGCTCAGCGTGGAGCCAGAGTGACCACATCGGAGCTACCTGAGGAAGGGCCAGGGTCAGACCTATCAGCTCGTATCGTCTCCGACAGCGCTGAGTTCTTCAGAATAATTACTAGGAAGAGTGAGAATAAGGAAAAGACTGCTCTCCTAGAACTTGTGCTTCCCGTGCAACAGGTCACGGACGCTGACTGTGAGGCAGAGAGGTTTCAAAAGCAGCCCAGGCACAATTTCTCAGCAGACTAAGAGGCCTTCAGCAAGCCGCGGCGAGCATGGCTGGGAAGATGGTCCGTTTACAGCTCTCATGTAAAACAAACACACAGATAAACAACGCAACACATGCGGGCTGTGCTTTTAAGCATGAGGAGGCCTGAAGGACCATTGCCAGGGACACTAATTAGCAAGATCTTATTTCTGTCCCTAAACTGTCCCCTTACCCTTCCCTAGTTCCTTAATCAGCCCAGTCCCTACACACTTTCTTCCTTTTTATTATTGGTCCCTATACACTTTCCATGGCAGTAAGAGGGACAGAGCAATGTTATTAAATCATTAATAAATTATTAATAAATTAATATTACATAAATGTTATTTAAAAAACACCCAAATTCACAACTTAGGGTTTCTGTAAGTGTTCCCTTACTTTCATTCTCCCAAGTACATTTCCTGAGTCCCTCAGGTCCCACTAAAACAGGACAAGGAAGGCGACCATCCCATCGCCCTGTGCATCTGTCTTCTGCCGATATCTGTGCAACTCAGAGGGACCAGTCCTGTCTGCACCAGCATCTTCTTTAAGCTGCTCCAGACGCTGGGAGGGCAACTGCCTGGACACTGTGCAGGCAGGACCTGGGCTTTGGATGTAACCGAGAGATCCCGGGCAAGTCACGTCCCTTCTTGACCCGCTGCCTGCTGTGCACTAATAATTCCTGCCCTACCTACCCTCTCCCAGGTCACTGTGAGGCTCACCAGGGTAAGGGATGTGAGGCTGCTTGGTCTATTGGCTGGGCACTCTGCCTTCTCCCTCCAGGCTGGCACACACCTTTAGGCACCCCAGGAGGACCCACGGTGGTAACAAGGACGACAGCCAGCACAGCCCCTTGGACATGGCCACACACCAGCCTGCCAGTCCCTACTCACAGCCAGAGAAGCCACAGTTCAGGGCCCTCACACCACATGCAGCCTCCTCCCCGGTGCCCGGGCACGGGCCCCACCACCGTGGCACAGTGTCCAGCAGTCACATCCAGAAGCAAACAGGCAGGGAACGAGGAAGAGAGCCAGACAGCAAGGACAGACCAGAGCGTGGCACGAGGGAACATGGGCCAGCACGTCACGCCCTTGCCTCCGGGGTGGCCCCCGGCCCCAGAGACCTGGGGTGCTGACCTGGCAGGTGGGAAAGGTCAGCTGGTGCTGCAGTAACTGGCCCACGGCGAAATCTCGCACACTGGCCAACTTGGCCTGGTGCCGCCGTAACCGGGTGAGAAGCAGCGAGAGCTCCTCCAGCTGCAGGTGTGTAGACACATCACGAGGAAATTAGCCACCGCAGGAGCACGTCGCTATAATTACTCTTCGCCCCGTGCTGGGCCAGCACTGATGTGACACCATTAGGTAATTGCTGCATTAATTCTGTCATTAGGACAAATAAAGGCACTGGCGGGAAAGGGGCTGCAGGAAGTGCTTTTTCCAGAAAACAGCAGCCAGCAGTGGCCCTCACCCAGACTCACACTTTGAAGATGGTTAACTAATCAAAGCAAAGACCAGGAGAGGAGCTAACGAGAGAAGAGCAGGTGGCTGGAAAACGCTGTCCGAAAGGGAAGAGCCCACGTTCTCGTCCACTTCCCCAAGCTCTTCATCGGATCTGGGAAGGACCCAACGCTGGCGGCGTGACCCTGAGCAAGTCATTCGACTTCTCTGAGCCTCAGTTTTCTCATCTCTAAATTGGGGGTTGAAAACTGCCCTGCAAACCGCATTGGATTGGCTTGGGGGGCGGAGGGGAGGGGGGATCAGACGAGATTAGCCCTTTGCAGGCTGCACTATATCATTCGCCTGGAGGGGGAGATGAAGCCCCGCTTACCGATTTTCCGTGTAAACTGGGAGCGCTGACAGTGTGGGTCATGTAACCCATGGAGGGCATGGAGCGTCGGTCCACGTGAGAGGAGTTCTGCAGGTGGGGAGAGAAGAAGTCACACTGAGGACTGGGCAAGGGGGCTGGGCAAGGGGGCCAGAACCTCTGCCACTCACTGCCAGGGCAGCCTACCTCAGGCACATCACCTCTCTGAGCCTCACTCTTCATCTGTAAAATGAAGATACCCCCGTTTCTCACCCGGTTATAGCAGTGACAAACTGTGAAAGCCCCCTGACGAGTTAAAACTTAAGTTGGATTATGATACACTAGAGGCCCGATGCACAAGATTCATGCAAGAGCAGGCCTTCCTTCCCCTGGCTGCCGGCACCGGCTTCCCTCTGGCACCCGGGACCCGGGCTTCCCTCGCAGCCCCAGCTTCGTCCAGAAGGACGTCTGGTCTAATTAGCATATTACGCTTTTATTATTATAGATAATTAAACTGAACACTGACAGCTTTTCCTGCCTTCCAAGCTGCAAGGAAGCAGACTTCTAGCTGTCTGGCCCCATGCAAATTACTCATTTCTTAATGCCTCAAGAGTTCTTATCAGTGAAATGGGCATAACAGCACCTACCTCTTTGGGCTGTTGTAAAAATTAAAGTAACTCCTTTAGCCCTGCACCCGACACCTAAAATCACTGCGTAAGTGTGACCTATCGTTACTGCTAATTGCTCAAATTTGTGTTCAAACCACGAGAGGTTCCTGGTGCCCTAATGCTGGACCCCAGCAGCCCGACAGGACTCCAGAGCCTCACCTTGGTGATGTGGCCCCATGTCTTCCTGGGAGAACTGCCCAACGAGATGTCCACACTCCTCCTCTGGTCCGGTGGCCTCACCGTGACCCTCTCTGCTGGTGTGTGTGGCCGCCGGGGTGGGAAGGCCCGCGGGGGTCCCGGGGGAGGGATGTCCGAGGGAGATGGAGGCACGGAGATAGAGCGGGGCACCTCCAGCATGCTCCTGCTCCGGCCCTGCTCGGGGAACTCCGGGGAGATGGGCGCCGTGGGGCTGCCGTGCCGGAACTGCTGGCGCTGCTGCCACTCGTAGAGCTGCCACACGGTGCCATCGCGGTGTGCCCGGCGCTCCTCGCTCGACATCTTCAGGTGGCTGGCTCGGTCCTGCGCGTACTTGTAGTCACTCGGCAGGTTGCGGGGCGGAGGCGAGGAGCCCCCCGAGGGGTGACGGGTGCTCCTGGGAAGAGTCTGGTAGTTTTCTGGGAAGGACAGGGGCTGGCTGGGACCGTGGCGAGGAAGGGTCTGGTCCGGGGGGAAGCTGAGGAGAGAGGAGGACAGGAAAGATGAGGACAGGTAAGATGATGCCAGGGTCTGCGAGGCATCTGGAAACACAGCTAAGTAAACGTGCAAGGCCAGGCCGGTGAGTGAGCCCTGTAAGAACCCCAGAGGACAATCAAAGCAGACACCCAGGACTTCCGTCTCTCGGCAAAGGACTCCAAAGCCATTTTCCCCTGTCAGCCTTGGAGTGTCAACCCTCTACCAGGCCGACTTGGCCACCCCACGCCCATCACGTCAAGGGAGGAACCCTGCCTTCTCCTCTCTCCCACTTAACCCCCATCAGCTCTTCCGATGGGTGTGCACATTCCAGGAAGCACCTCGTAATTCTCCAGCTCACCAAGACGCTGCCTGTGTCCGCTATCACCGCTCCAAGTCCTGCAGGTTCTTAATGGACGTGCTGACATCGGTTTCCTTCTTTTTCTACTACCCTAGTCTAGATACTGATTAATGACCTCCTCTCCCCCAAGACTGACGGGTGCTCCTGGGAAGAGTCTGGTAGTTTTCTGGGAAGGACAGGGGCTGGCTGGGACCGTGGCGAGGAAGGGTCTGGTCCGGGGGGAAGCTGAGGAGAGAGGAGGACAGGTAAGATGACGCCAGGGTCTGTGAGGCATCTGGAAACACAGCTAAGTAAACGTGCAAGGCCAGGCCTGTAAGAACCCCAGAGGACAATCAAAGCAGACACCCAGGACTTCCGTCTCTCGGCAAAGGACTCCAAAGCCATTTTCCCCTGTCAGCCTTGGAGTGTCAACCCTCTACCAGGCCGACTTGGCCACCCCACGCCCATCACGTCAAGGGAGGAACCCTGCCTTCTCCTCTCTCCCATTTAACCCCTGTCAGCTCTTCCGATGGGTGTGCACATTCCAGGAGGAAGGACCTTGCAACTCTCCAGCTCCCCAAGACGCTGCCTGTGTCCGCTATCACCGCTCCAAGTCCTGCAGGTTCTTAATGGACATGCTGACATCGGTTCCCTTCTTTTTCTACTACCCTAGTCTAGATACTGATTAATGACCCCCCCTCCCCCAAGACAACTTTGAGACCTTCCTCACTAGTTTCCACACAGCATGCAGTCAAGTGTTCAGATCCAATCACTGCCGTGCTCCATAAACTTCCATGGCTCCCCACTGCTTATGAAATCTAAATCCCTTCGCCTGGTCCTCATAGCTCTGCAGCGTCTGACCTCAACCCACTCTGCAGTCCTGCTGTCTTCTCACTGGTCCTCCTACTGGGACCAGGACTGAGCTGGGGCGAGCCAGGGCCAGGCGTCTCGGGCCCAACAGGCCAGGAGGCCCCCCTCGGATGCGGCCCTGTCATTACTGAAGCCTGAGAGTGAGAGCTTCCCCCTAATCCCGCCCAGCCTCCTACACCCCTGGGCAACTTCTCATGTGGAAAAGGCAGGGCAGTGTGACCTGGGGTTGAGTCCTAGCTCTAGAGTCCTAGCTCTGGCATCCACTGGCGATGTGACCCTAGGCAGCTTGCCCACTGCTCTGAAGGGTCCATGAGAGAATGCAGGCTCCATGCCTGATGCATAGAGGCACTTCACCAGCGGGTGCTCCCTTCCCAGTTCTCCTCATTTTCATATTGTTCTTCCCTCCCCCACCTGCATGGGCTCCCAGGGCCCTGTGCACCCTAACTCACTCATTCTCCAGTACACTGTCCGTCCACAGAGGCCTCTGCAATGCCACAGCCCTCGGGGTTCTTGCTCTGCTCTGACTTAGTGACTATACAGTCAGTAACTTTTCTGAGGTTCTTGTCATACTTGCAAGACATCTCTTTCCCAGCCGAGCTGCACATCCTTGCAGGGCAGGACCCGTGTCTTACATTCTGTGGGATTGTCCACGGGCTGAGAAAGTCTTCATGCATAACCAGCCCTTTAATGAATACGCCAGCACACAAAAGCTGGATACGATTGTGAAAACCACAACCAACCAGCCATCTTATTTTGCAAAACAAAAATTCAGCAAAGGGCAAAATATAGCGATTTATTCAGCCTTAAAAGCAGCATGTTGTCAAAAGAGAACAGGTGTTAGAATCAGACAGGCCTGGGTTGGAGTCCTGACCCTGCCTTTATCTATCAACTCTATCCAACAAACTTCTATATAGTGCTTACCACGAGCAAGACGTGCGGCAGCATCAGCACCACCGGGCAGTTAGACAGGCACGTTAGCAGGTCCCACCCAAACCTGCCAAGTCAGAAACTCTGGGGGTGAGGCCTAGCCACCTGTGTTTTAACAAGACCTCAGGTGGCTAACATTATAATTGTTCTAAAATTATTCTAATTGTTTTAAAACTCATCTCATTTCCTCTCTTCCTTACCATACATCCTCGGGTGTCATTTATACCCTCACTTTCCTTACTATAAAGTGGGAACACTAAGAACCATTCAATGGACTGTTGTGAGGATTAGAAATAGTTGTCATACGCCAGGCCAGTGTGGCTCAGTGGTTGAGCAATGACATGACCCATGCACTAAGAGGTCACTGGTCAGGGCTCAATGCCTGGTAGGGGGCGTGAAGGAGGCAGCCCATCAATGTTGATGTTGCTCTCTCATCAATGTTTCTATCTCTCTCCCTCTCCTTCCCTTTCTCTCCAAAAATCAATAAAAACAGATTTTAAATACAAATAGCTGTCATTCAAAAATGGTAGCTTTCTTCTCCCTTTTCATCGTTATCTTTGCAATTACAAGAGGTCATGTTGAGATCTCTTCAACCCAGACTTGTCTAGTCTGTGTAGCTTGTCTCCTTGCCACTAGGTGGCAGGGTTTGCTGCTGATTTCCCAGCATCAGAGGGGACCCTGACTCTGAGGAAGGGGCAGTGCCTGAATCCTGTAACTGCGGTGATGGCAATGGCACAAACCAGGCTGGGCTCCCCCTGGGGAGCTTATGACTTTACTAACCACTGTTCACTCTGCCTGAAGCAAATGCAAACTATACAGAGCATGTCCTACCTGTGCTCCCACGCCCCTCGGTGTGGCTCTCAGCCCACCGGTGCTGCCTATGTGTCCCATGGTCAGAGACCCCACTGGGCAGTGCCCCAAAGCCCTCAGCTGGCCCTCTAGCCTGTTCCTTCAGCCTATGCACCGCCTGCCACTCCCCACCTTCCCACTCCTAGCGCTGGCCACCTGGAGGCAACCCCAAAGATCCCAGTCCCATGGTGAGCCCTGGCTCCCGAGGAAGGACCAGGAGGTGGGCAGGGCTGTAAGATGACATAAAGATCACCCTGGGAGCAGCTTCGTTCCGACAGCAGACCCATCTGCTGGCCCCCAACTCCAGACTTACCCCAAAAGAGTGCTCAGGGTCTCTTGCCCTCGCACCCTGCTCTGTGGCTATGGGGCCTCCCTGTTCCAAAAGGCACCAAAGCAAACAGGATGTTCTGACACAGCCACTATAAAATGGTCGCATCAGAATGAAAAATCAAATTTTATCACCAATTCCTTATTCAGCAGACAGTCCTCACCCTCACTTCCATACTAACTGTGTAGGACTTTTCACTTTCTATTCTGTTCCTCACTGATGTTTGAGTCCCTGATTCCACCTCCACCCCCACTCCCGCCTTTTTACTTTACAAGTGTGCATTAATTTAAACACCAGGGGATAACAGAAGGCTAGCATTTCAAACCAACCTCTTAGGATGTGTTAAGATTCTAAGGGTACGTCAGCCTGTTCCCCACAAACCATCATCATAAAGGAGTGTATTGATGTGAAATATAATATATATCTCCAAGTCCTGAAAGAACAGTTATAAACAACTTCTTGTGGTCTAGAGCCACGAACACAAGATCCTAATACAGCCCAACCAACCCTCCTTTCAATGTCCAACGTGCTCAACCTAATGAGATTAGCAAAGTCTTAATCACACAGCAGAGATATCCATTGTCTATATTTTCAAATGGAGGAGGTTCCTGCATTAAGCAGCCAGATCAACTTATTTCTTGACAGTAAGAGATTTCAAATATATCTTTAAGAAAGAAAAAAAAAAGCCCACAACTCTGGGAATGCAAGGATCACTCAGTTCTTTCAAGACAGAAGTGAATGATCAGAGACCAAGCACTTTGCTTACTCAGAGACTGACAGCTTTCCTCCCAAAAGGGTAGGTAGTTCATACTCTGCCTTCTATTCCTCACTTTTGCTTTTCAGCCCACTGAGAAGTGCTTCTACCACTAGTCTGAAGTTCTGCTCACCGTGTGCTCAATGACCTTCAAGGTCAACGGACTGTTTTCATCCGCAGACCTGATGTCACCCTGCCCCTTAGATAAGAATGGCTCAAACTCCCATCTCACATCCTAGGGACAGTCCAACGCCTTCCCCAGCCACCTCTTATCTGCTGGTGTTGACTTCTCATCCTTCAGCTCCCCAATGTGCATGCCACCCCCAAACACAGACCACTGTGTGTAGCAGAATAATGCGGGTTTGTGGGCTGCCAGAAACAGTTATGTGGAGACATTTCACATTTAATAACCTATCACTGCATAGCAGTCACTCAGCTTGTAGAATTCCTTCTGCCATACCGCTACTCTGCCAATGCCTTGTGAACCATTCTCAGTAACAGTGCCATGCCAGGCTGCTGCTCAAAGTCCACCAATGGCTTCACGGGCCTCAAGCTTAAATCCAAACTCCCCATCAGGAAATACAGGCTAATCAGGGTCAACCCTTGCCCTTCCTATCTGCCCCGACATCTGGTTTCTCCTGCTTTTGTCTCCCCAAGCCAGCTCCACACAGACTTCAGTTCCTAAGAATCGCACAGAAGAGGAAACGGCTAACTTATCATGAGTTTCCCTTTGACCACAGTGGACTCTCCAGGATCCCTCTCCTGCTGCTAACTTCTAAGTGTTGGGGTACCATTTACATGCTGATTGCCCCCAATTAGCATGTCCAACCAGCCCTCAAACCTCAACATCACCATCCATATCTAACTGCCTACATGACATCTGCCCTTGGATAGCTAATAGGTTTCTCAAACTTCTGTGTCCAACATGGAAACCCTGATTTCCCCCAAACTAGTTTCTAAACCCTCCCCACATCAGAACCACCCAGTTATTCAAGTAAAAATTCTAGGGATCCTCCTTGTTCTTCCCTTTCTCTCATCCTGCACTTCCCATTCATTGACAAATTTTGCTTTTAAGCCTCTAAAATGCACCTCCAATCTCTTTCTTTCTGTTTCCATTGTCACCAATCCTGGCCACTACAACAGCCTCCTTCCTCCACAGGCGCTTTGTAGATTAGTAATATTATATCATTTACCTCTTAAAACCTTCCAGTGATATTCCTGTTTGTATTTAGCAAGTAAAACTTACGTTGACCTTTAGTGCATTATACTTAGCTTTTAAAAGTGAGTTTTACCTATGTACTGGAAGGAAAAGATCTTAGTCTTAGGCCGTTTCCTTGTGCAACAACTGGAAAGGGGCAATGTCGTTTGTTTTCATTCTTTTTTCCCCCAAAGCACAGTCAGCTGTAGTGTACTTTATGTCTGACAGAGATAATTGGGGGGGGGGCACTCCAGATTATTTATAAAATTTGCCTCTGAAACATTTCTTTGTAAATCTTGTTTTTAATTGAGGCAAATGTTTAAAAAGAAAGATGCAGACTTAAAGCATTGAACTTTTTTTTTAAAATGGTGTTTTGTTTTCATCTATTTTCTATCAGATAACATTTTATTTCTAAATTGGAGGTAGTCGGCACTCTTCAGATGAGTATGTACTTTTATTGTAGAATCTTCTCAAAATTAAACTGAGCTTACTCAGGTTAAAGCAGTAGATACTGAAACAGCATACTCTCATAGAGCAGCAGAAAGAACTCTGGTACTTGTGGCTCATGGAAAATAGTCCCCTAAATTTCCAAGTCCAATCTGAGAATTACCAAACCCTGTGATTATGGGGCCCACAATGCTTTTAAATCCAGGAAAAAAACTATCACCAAAGCCTTGTCTTAATTTTTATTATGTATGTAACTGTGGAACCAGCCTTATGGATGGGGCCCACAAGTAATTGATTTGTAACTTCAAAACCAAGAACAGAATATTATTAGATCATTTAATCCAGCCTTTTATCTCCTAAAACCTAATGCCCATTGTAGAAAAGCATTAGTATATTAGGACCAACAGAGTTTGAGTTAAAAATAATGAGTGTTTACTCTTATTAGAGCATAAACATGTCAGTATTTTCAGATTTGTATTAAATCACTAAAAATATTAATTTGAAAAAAAAAATATTAATTTGAACTTGAAGGATTCAAATGCTAGAAATCAATCTATCTTTTACTCTCCCAGTATTGGTCATGCCTGTCTTGTGTTATTTACATGCTCTTCTACCCAGATTGTTAGTACAATATTATATATAGGGGCCCTTTTGGGGCTGATAAATATAATAGTTTAGCTTTTCCCTCTAATATTGATCATGACTTCAACATTCCTAAGAACAGATAGTTCTGAATGATTTAAATTGGAAGGAATTTTAATTATATAAAAACATATAATGTACTAACTTTCTGCCTACTCAGATCTCTTCTCTGCCGTGCCCTTATATTTCTTGTTAAGCTATATACTACTTTTTATGCTATTCCTTTTAGAAACGGAAAATTGTAGTTTTACTCAGTTTTTGTGTTAATAAGCATTTTGAATGTGTACCCCTGTATATGTGAACAATTAAATCTTGACCTTTCAAAGTCATAGTTGCTAATCAACTTCAAGAGTTGATATCTTTTGACCATTTATATGAGGGTTGCTATTGTATTCTGTACATGGCTGTATATTATGTGCATTTCCTCTATGTTTATGTTAACTAGCTGAATTTTATTTGAATTGTGAAAAGTTTAAAATTAAAATATGCTTATGAAAATATGGTGGTTTTTCTAAAAAAATATTGATTTCAGAGAGGAAGGGAGAGAGAGATAGGAACATCAGTGATGAGAGAGAATAACTGATTGGCTGCCTCCTGCATGCCCCCTACTGGGATTGAGCCTGCAACTGGGCATGTAGGCTTATGAAAAAACAACAACCCTTCCAGTGGTTCCCCCTGTTGCTTTTTCAAATAAAACCCAAATTCCTTACATTAATCTGAGGACCCAGCTTTCCAAGCTCACCTAGCAGGAAAGTCACTTACAACCACCTTGTCCAGCACCGAGCATGGCAGCCCCCACCCCGTGTCCTTGAGCAGAGCTTCCGTTTTCCATAAGACACCAAATGCGAACAAACAGAACTGACACCTGGTCAGTCCCAGTGGGGATGGGAAAGCATCTCAGCTCTGACACAAAAGGCCCTCCTCCTCCTGGTCTGGGCCACAACAATGTCCACCAATTGCTTAGGGCAGAGGTTCTCAACCTGTGGGTCGCGACCCCTTTGGCGGTCGAACGACCCTTTCACAGGAGTCGCCTAAGACCATCCTGCATAGCAGATATTTACATTACGATTCATAACAGTAGCAACATTACAGTTATGAAGTAGCAACGAAAATAATTTTATGGTTGGGTCACAACATGAGGAACTGTATTTAAAGGGCCAGAAGGTTGAGAACCACTGGCTTAGGGGGTTCCACTGTGATTTCTCCACCATCTACCCTCACGACTGTCCAGCTGGACCAGACTAAAGAGGTTACACAACCCGCACATGCACTCCACACCCACGCGCTGGAAAGCAGGCCTGGGCTATTCCCCTAGGAGCGCTGCCGCCTGCAGAGCCTGCAGGTGGAAAGCCGGCTCGCCAACAGGGAGAATGAAGTGTGGCAGTTAGCTCATGTTTACCAGGCCGGTGGCAGACTCGGCCTGAGCTCTGGTACTTCCCCGGGCCCTTCTGGCATGGGGGCGCTTTCTGAATGCACCCAGGCCTTGCTCTCACCTCTCTAGTCGGTGGTTTGTTTCACAAGCCTGAGGACAGTGAGGGGGATTTGCTGTCTTGAAGGCAAAACAGAGGCTTCTGGGGACAATGGAAGCTGGGTGACCCTGAATTCTTCACGTTCATAAATGTGCCCTAATTAATCTAAAATTATAATAAAATACAGACAGTGCTTTGCAAACAGCAAGGATTCACGTGCTCTAAACCACTGAAAACTGCTTCTTGAAGGAATGGGTGTGGTGAAGCCTGAGTCAGCAGTGCCTAAGCGCCGCTCTATGTGCTGGAAGTTAAAAAACGGGCCTGCACTTACTCTAGTTTCTACAACTACTTCCCGGATGCAGAGAAGGAGCAGGTAAAAGGAGAAGAGGAGTTACTGTCTACAGGCTAACTGTCTCAAAGCGCGCTCCCCGGGAACAAAGAAGCCTCCTCATGCTATCTCGTGTGGCTCGGGAGGCCTGCAGGCCCAGATTTTAACTCTGGCTTTGTCACTTATCTGTGCGCCCTGGGCAGGTTCCTTCCCTCCTCCCAGCCTCATTCTCCTCATCTATAAATTGGAACTATTCCCCCTCCCTGTAGAACTGTTATGGGATTTTTTGGGATAATGGAGGTAGAGAGTTTAAGGCCATCATTAACCAGTGCATGCTGGGTAAATGACAGCGACTGTTATTGCGTATTTTGCTCATAGGTAGCAGCGATTCAGATCTATTACTGACCTCCTGCCATCCCCTTTCTGGGACTTTGCCCAGTGCTCCACCTGGGCCAGGCTGCTCTTCCTCTGGCTGTGCTTTTCATGGTTGGTCCTGGGAGGAAAGGCCCTCGGGTATCCGCCCGTCCCATTCTGCTCTCCTGGGCCGTATGCGATGCCATTCTTCTCTGCCCTCTGGGGCTGTGCCTGCTGGCCTCTCAGGCCACTGGGTAAGTCCACGAACAAGGCATCCTCCTCAGCTGGCGAGTACGGGGACCTGGTCTTGCTCCTGTCCCTCCTGCCCTCGGATGCGTGCGAACGGTACCGTTCTTCCTCTTGCTCCCGCCTCTCGTAGCCATAGGAGTCCTCATGGCGGCGATGAGGACAATCCCTCGCATGTCCGGGTCCCACGCGGCCACACTCACGACAGGACTCCGCGTGGTTGACCTGGGGGACGGCCTGCCGCTCCAGCTTCTCCAGGTCCCTGCAACGACAGCAGTACATTCAGCCCGATCCAGACAGCACAGCTGGCAGTCAATCTCCCCAAAGCACAGCCTTGGCACTCAAACTACCTCCAGACCTTTGCACGGGCTGTTCCCTCTGCCTGGACCACCTGTATGCCCAGTCCCTCACTCCACCCACTTAAACTTCTACTCCTTTGAGATCTGACTAAAATGTTACCACCTCCTGGAAGCCACCTCAGCCACATGTACCCAGTCTAGATCAGAACCTTAACCAACTCCATGGTCACACTGGACCAACTGGCCCAAGTAGACATGGTGAGAGGCCCATCTTGCCAAGCATCATATGCCCAGAACTTGTGTGCAGAGACTGTGACAGAACAGGCGCTCTGAATGAGTAAATGATACAGTGATAGTCTCACACCTTTCCATTTGCCATCTGCCTGAGGCGGTCCAGCTTGGACAGAAAGCTCCTGAGCCCACTGGCTGCCAGCACAGCCCCAAGAGCAATGGCAGCACAAGGAACATTCCCACTATCTGGTACCAGGGACACAGCAGCGGCTCCACAAGCTTTGCAGAATTTAGATTGGGGAGGCAGGGAAGGGAACACACTCCATCCCAGAAGGACTAGGAAAATTATGAGAGACCCTTGGATGGGGCAGCCAGTCTACTTGTATCCCCATGGTGAAAAGTCCTGGCCTTGAGATCCATCACTCTTCCAACAGCCAAGCCAGAGATCTCTCCATTTCAACATGAAAGCATACAATGGAAATGCTGCTGCATTAACATCCAGGCGGCCAGACCCAGGTGGCCTTGCAACGACCACATAACCTCAGCTACCAATACTCAGCACAGATTCAGGGCAAAACCAATCCAGTCTGGGAGCTAAAACAGAATTAAAATGTAATAAAAAGTAAAAATACACCCCCTAACACAGGGTCTGCTTCTTAGTGTGTACTAACTGTTGACCTTAACTTGGGCCTGGAGAACTAGGAATGCAACCCCACATTCTACTATTTATGTGCTCATGACTTTTCCATACAAACCCAAAGCTTTGTGGGAAACAACAATAACAAACTCTGGACCACCTTTTATCCATCACTAGGGGACCTCTTTGCCCCCACCTCCTAAGCCAGTGATGGCGAACCTTTTGAGCTCGGCGTGTCAGCATTTTGAAAACCCTAACTTAACTCTGCTGTCGTGTCACAGATAGAAATTTTTTGATATTTGCAACCATAGTAAAACAAAGATTTATATTTTTGATATTTCTTAATATATTTAAATGCCATTTAACAAAGAAAAATCAACCAAAAAAATGAGTTCGCGTGTCAGAGGTTCGCCATCACTGTCCTATACCTTCAGGTAATAGCATTTCAATTTTCATTTGGGGATCACCCTCCTACACTCTCAGTCCATGTGGTTTGGAAGCTGCCCACTCTACTAGTCTCTGCCCAGCTGAGGCTCCAAAGTCTCAGTGACTGGTTCAGGGGTTGACACATGACCTAATATTGGAGCCAATCAGAGTTAGCCCTGGGACACTGGTTGGAGCTGGTCTTGAGCTGCTACAACTATATGGAAAGCAACTATTTGAAAATAAAACCAACACCAAGGAAAGCAGATGGAGAGAAACAGGATCCTAAATGCTTGACCTGAGCTCCTAGATTTAGCCATACCTAAACCAGATAAATATTTGGACTTTTTGTTTGTGAACCAATAACTTCTCTTTCTCATTAAGCTAGTTTGAGTTTGGTTTCTGTTACTTATAGTGGAAAGAATCCTATTAAATGATATAATACTAGATATGATACTAGAGGCCCGGTGCATGAAAATTTATGCACTGGAGGGGGGCCCTCAGCCCGGACTGCCCCCTTTCACAGTCTGGGAGCCCTCAGGGGCGGGAGGCGACCCGGCGATCAGGGGAAGGCACAGCCACCATCCAAGGCTTGCCTGCACCTCAGGCCGGCCCTGGGCAGCTGGGGAGGTAAGGGGATTGGGGGACCCCGGAGGCAGGCGCACAGAGCAGCCGGCCGGCCTGGGGGCGGGCCTAGCCTTGCAGCACCTGCTGCCCCTGTGGGGCTGAGGGGACTGGGTGCCACCATCTTTGAGGGTGTGGCATCAATTAGCATATTCCTCCTTATTGGCTGTTGGCACCGCCATCTTTGAGGGTGTGGCATCAATTAGCATATTCCCTTCTTATTGGCTGTGGGCACCACCATCTTTGCAACTGCGTGAGGATCAATTAGCATATTCCCTCTTTATTAGATAGGATAAAGATTATAAACCACCAAAAAAATCCTTTTAAATCTTTGTAAGATATAAATTCTCTTTAACAATGTAAAGATTTTAGAAAAGCTATCTAAAATGGGTCCTATTTTCCATTGCTCTTACTATAAAATTTGAGGTATTATTACATAATTAAAAATATTTTAAATAATTTGCTTGAGAGAGACTGTGCCAATTGCTTTCTCGGTGACAGTACTTTTGCCAAGTACTTTATATGGTCCTGAGCTAGAGTTTGGTCAACTCAAAACTTCAAGGAATAGAGTAGGCTTTGCTAAAACTTAGTTATCCAGATAATTTCTTTTTCCCCAAATGCTACCCTGTACTACTTTTGTCCTCTCCTCCCTCTAGCTATCATTTTCCAAAAACACAGCCATCCCTACCAGCAGGTGGAGGCATGGAGCAGTAATTCAAAATTCCTACTCAAAATTATAAGCAGGAAACGTTTCTAATGTCAACCACAAGATCAGTGACATAGGCCCCTTAGAAAGGGTACCTGCCAGCAGCCAAAATGAAGCCCTGGAAGCTTTGAAGGCTCATCTACAACTGTAGTTTTTGTTCCTTTCCTCGTATATGATCATATATATTAACACACTGAATGCAAAAGTATCATTTATCTGTGAATAACTTTTTGAAAGGCACATTTGGTAACAATATAAAAATCAAAAGTCTATGTTATCTTTAGGCAAAAACAGGTCATTTAAATGTGAAATAGAACACTCAATTTTCTACCAATTCAAATTAATCATAAAATTGAACAATATATAGGCAGAGTAAAAATTTTGAGTTTTTATATTGGAAGTTAATTGTTGCAGTTTTCTGGAGTGGCCAAAGGGATCGTAAGAATGTCCACCTATGAAAAGAAAGGAAATCACTTCTCCTCTGATCCTTTTTGAAAAGTAAAAGGGCGGAGAGGAGGGGTGATATTTACACTAAAAATATTAACAGAAGTCTTATCAAATTGCCTCAAAGAGAATGGATGGTACCTCTCTAGTCCCATGGCTGCTGGGCCATAGAGAAAACGCCTTTGTGCCCCAAATGTGTAAACTATAGCTACAGGTAAGAAAGGGGAGGTAATGCTCCCTACTCCCCCACCTTACCCGACTTCAACATTGAATTTACTAAGTTATAGGCTTGAAGGCAAAAATGTTCTTTGACTTTCTCCCTGTCTCCTTATATTCCCAACAATTTAACACATGACTTCTCAAATCAGGAGACCTGTCACAAAATAGATTTGCTATGCTCAATGGAGCACAGTGATGGGAAAGAATGAAGCACCCTTGGCTGTCAATATTGTGTCACTCAGACGCTGGCCATGTAGGGCACAGATGTGTAGCTAAGATGACACAGCCTTTCCTGTGCAGGCCACTGTGATCACTGTAAGCACCTGGAGTCAGATATTGTTCAAAACATGGGAAACTTCTGACATTTGGTGACCATTTGGACCATATATATCACTTCCCAAGCACAACAAACCCAGAGGGCATAGGATTTCGAGCTAGTCAGGCCTGGACTCAAGTGCTGGCTTCACCCCAGTGTACGATGGGTGCCCCTGGGAAAGTCCTTGATCTCTCTGGTTTCAGGTTCCTCCTATGCAAAAAGGGGACATCAGCCCCTGCCTTCCTTGGTTGTTGTGAGGATTAAAGGGGACAATGCACAGAATAAGCACAGAGCATGTCTGGCACACAGTGTGCCTTCCCAACCCAGCCTCCCAACATCTATTCTCCCCTCCTGCCTTACCCCAATGTGCCTTCACATGCAAATGGTTGCCTCCCAACATCTATTCTCCCCTCCTGCCTTACCCCATTTATTTTTCGAAGCAGCAATGTACCCAGCAAAAAAAAACATACATTTCCCAACCTCCCTTGGAACTGAGGGTGATCATGTTAACTAACACAGATCCAGCCAATAAGACGTACGCAGACATCTTAACGTCTTTAAAAGAAGCACCTTAGCTGGCTTAGCTACCCTTCCCTTCCTCCTGCCTGGAATGTAGCCTCTGTGCTGGAGAGCAAGGTGACAACAATGTGAATGACAGCCACCTGCTGAAACCTGGGTAGAAAGCAAGAGCCGGGCCCCTGATGGCATCATGGAGCTGGTGTACCGGCCTGGATTCCTGTTCTGTGAGAAAACTAATGCCCAATTTGAGTGCACCATCCTGAATCGGGTGGTTCTATGACTAGCAACCAAATGCAATCCCTAACTGCATTAGGGGCTAAGCCTTTTATTTGCAGGGGTTATGTGCCCTCATTTTCAGCAGATCACAGCAATGCTCTCTGTCTGCTTTGAGCAGATTCTTATTTCCACTGCAAGTGGGAAGAGAACACATCTCAGACCAGGATACTTCTCTCTCGTCCCTTTTCTTTACAAGAACTTGGAAGGTAACCTCATACTAAGCAATTGTGCACTGGTTATCATTTTATTTTGATCCCAAACTCTTATCTCACCAGGAAATAAGGAATAGCATTCCCCTCTACCTTAATGCTAAACACACACATTAAAACTCATTCGAAGGCGCGGGTGGGCAGAGGAATGACAACATGTAGCGACTTGGTTGGACCTTGGTCCTATTGTTGGATACAGCCCCTCTGTTGTAATCCCACTGGAGGATCCCTGCCCATTCACTTCACCTAAACAACCAGACGAGCAGCGAGAACCAGGGCCAGGCCACTGATATTCTTGGAGAGTCTGGTCCGAGCCAGGTCAGTGGCAGAAGCCCTGTCCTGGGAGCCCAGCTCAGCCT